GAACGAACACTGTTCCGACTTGAGCTCCGGTAGGCATCCCATGGCGTCACCATTTTCCTCCAACATGTGCCTACCGTAGAGCTTCTGATCGAGTGTGGCAAACCTACCGTTGCTCATGATGTACAGTATGTAGTACGCGGCCAACCACGTCCCAGATGTGGGGTACGATAGGAATATACAATCCCTTTGTCGGGGCTCGTAGTTGAGCGCATTTTCTACTGATTTTGGGTCAGTCATTTTATAATAATATATACCTCGGACCTTATGAAAGAAATCATCAGGGTTGTATAAAGCAGACATTTTAGTATTAAGGTGAATCAACTTAATACTGTTTGGTATATAAGAGATGTAATATAATATTATTTTTGTATTAAAAACAGACAAGTTTTAGTCGGACAGTGTATATATTAATAATACAACTGACGTACAAAACTACCATGAGTATTCAATAATTATTAAAAATATTAAAAACAATTACTTTAAAAGTAAATGAAAACATTGCATTATATCTGGTGCTATAAATAAAATCCAACAATTTGTATTTCATATTATATTTTATTATTTATAAGTTAATTATATATAAATATTGTTAAAGATATTTATTTGCTAAGCACTCACAAATGTTCGGTTTAATTTGCAACACCATATATTTTGTTTTGCATTTTTAGTTAAGATTTAAAAATAAGATGATTGGCAAAAAAATAATTTCCTGGAGTTGTTTTCATTAACTGTTTCTATATATGTGTACAAAGTTTTGAACAACAACTGAATGTTAAATTAATTCTAAATTACATTTTAAAGATTTTTTGAATAGTTTTATAAAATGAAATTAACATTATATTTAACGTTATCAATAGTTTTAATTTTAATTATACATATAACCAGGATCAATAAATAATGGGATAGGGGTTTGTTTAATAGCTCACTTATTAAGTGTAGCATAAATATATACTCTGGCAAACTTAAAGTTCATTAAGAGGTAGCCATGAAAAAACAAGAATATTCTGTTAAATTGGATGATTTGCTTGACCCATAGTCAGCGCAAAGATTGTAATGTTAAAATTATATGGAGTAAGGGTATGGTAGAGGAGATACTATATTTCAATAATATTGAAAAATAATTAAAAATATATCACATGTTTGCTTACAGTTTAACTTTGAAAATGGCTAATTCCGCCATAAACTCCCATGTGTTTGCAAAATAAAAGTAAATATTTGAAAATGTTTTGTTCCTATCATAAGCGCTAATAAATTCTAATATGTATAGAACAAAAAATTATGTTTTTATATTAACATTTACAGGTTTTCCAAATTGTTTCTCCGGACTCTTTCGGTTTCTATTCATAAAAGAATGTAATGCCTACTCAGCCTTACTCTAGTCTAGCAATACCCCATTCTAGCTTTAGATCTAGCAATTGTATGTCAAAACATACAAAACACATTTTCTGACACAATAGCACTAAACTTTGTTGGCTGAGTAATAAAACACACATCAAGTAGCCCTCGAGAGGAATCACTGGATAGCCCTCTATCACTTCAATTGATTCGAGATGCAGTAACCAAGGGAGCCTTCCAACTTCCGATCACAGTGGAAGGGTCTCATAGAACATCATTATGAGCGTGGGTGTACGTACAACAGCACCCTTGCCTATCTCCCACCAAAGCCATAGTTACATGCGAGTAGTGCGAGCTCTATCATCCCAACTCAAACATCTAGAGCTCGAGATATGCTTAACTGCTCTCTCGCCTTTCCAATGCTTTCGCTAAAGCACTTAGATTGCACTCACTGAAAAATCAATAAAATGGCTTTAACAGTCTGCCTCGAGTTAGCACTAAAAAGGCTACAAACCAAACTTACAAAATTCTCGTAAATTAATAGGCAATCAGTCAAGTGTGTATCAAAGATCCTTATTGCAAAAGCCATCACAGATTGGTCTTTGTGTTAGAGAATGTTAGTGAATGAGATAACCAACCAATTAGAGCTCAACACCGCTCTCGAACAGTAGTTCGATTTGTTGGTTAGTTTAGTACAGCCAAAGCTACTCGAGTGGTATATAAGGTCGAGACGTTGGCCGAGTAAAGTTACCTGATTTTGGCAATCGAGGTAACCTATCGTGATCAGATCGTCCACCTTGATCTCATTGCGAGTTACCTAGTGTAAAGGGAAACTCTTGTCAACCAATTCCGTAAATCTTGTGTAAATCACTTAGAATCTTTTGTTAAAATCCACAATTCTCAATCATTATTCACGTCTCTTAATTTCGTGAATTATCAAGTGTTAAAATCTTAAATAAAATAAGTATTCGCCTTATCTTATCGTTGTGTCGATTATTGTGAGAGTGAGTGAGTGGAAGAGTCATCCGACCGCCCTCGAGTCCTCTGGCAGCGACCAATAACTTTCCGTTCGCTACCATCAACTGAATCGTTCAGGACATCGCCGACTAGTCGTCGCACCGAGAGACGGGAGACGCGAAGTAGTCATCTACTTCAGACTGGACGGACCAGTACTCACTTTAATACTCGACGTCGACGGAGTGTGGTCTCTGGCACCTAGAATCAGTCATCCGACATCCCGACAAACCTAACCCACCACGGTAAGCTGAATGACTTGATCTTATTATTTAATAAGAGGCAGGAATAAGAGAATAGGGCGCGCCCCTGCCCTTAACCGAGCCCATAGTAAAAATGAGAAGTTGGAAGGCCTGAGACGCCGAGCGCGAGCGTCAAGGTAGAATGGGTCGGCTAGGGGTAACGCGTTACACAGGTCAGAAGTGGGATATTACCCTTGGTAGTATCCTTCCACACAAATCATGCCCTAAAATGATAACGGTCCGCTTTAACTCTCACTCGTATCCCGAGAGAGACTGTAGACAATCCGGACGACTGTGTGCTCGCATCTAATGTAACTGAAGCGAAAAATTAGCGTTTACTCGAAATTGCTTGCGATAGTCAGACAAAATCTAAGCCGACCGGTGCCTTCGCACACCCCTCCCTTACTTTATAATGAGGTAACGCGAGAGGTAAAGCTGTCGTTCTCTCTACCAGACCCTAACAACCCGTCTGTCCACCAATAAAAACAGACAACTTTGAGCCACGAAAAGGTTCAAATAGATCTGATGCCTACCACCAAAAAAAGTAGCCCGGCGTCAATTTAGACCCTTAATAAACACCGGTCGGCAATGAAAAGAAAGCCTCGCAAAGGAGGTCACCCCTGATAACCTCATAATATTAATATATTTTATTAGAATTTTGTAAATAAGAAAATTAATATTATATAACTTACAACACTATCATTACATTATTCATTAGAATTTAAGTTAACATTTAGACATTTGTCTACCAAATATGTTTTATATTAAAAATTATACTGAATCCGTTTAACATGGCATATTCATTATCAATAAAGTTTCTAATTTTTGAATTTATTAGTTTAACTAAGTTTAATAATAATAATATTTGTCATTCACTTGCGTCTGACTTTCAAACATAAGCCAATGTAAGCCAAACACATATAAACCAAAGTCCAGGCCATGAGGGCTATGGGACACCACTGGAGACCCGACTCATCGAAACCCATGGATTCAATGACTTCTACTCCAGNGACACCACTGGAGACCCGACTCATCGAAACCCATGGATTCAATGACTTCTACTCCAGAGGTATAAGTAGTCGTCGATTGAGTGGTGTTTGTGGTGTCGGACGACATGTTTCCCACATTTCGCCACTCGTTTACAACCAACGATTGGTATCCGTAATATTGAAGTGACAAGTACTGCATCCAATCTAACCACCCTGGTAATGTGCTACATAATTGACCATGAAATAAAATTTATTGATAAATTAATGGTATAATATTAAATAAATTACCCGATGTTAAGGAAATATCCTCCCAATACATTCAATGGTACCATAAGTGATCCCAGTATTAGATTAGCTGTCATAAGATCCGGGCTTAGTGTTGAGATTAAAAATCCTATATTTATTTTAATTGCAATAATTAATTAATAATTATAATTTAAGCAATTTTATTCAAATGAGGCAGTTGACTTTAGGATTTTTAAAAAATTATATAATGTAAAATTTAAAATATATTTAACATTAAATATAACATGAATAATCAATCAAACTTAATACTGTATTAATTTAATAATAAAATTCAAGTCTACACAATACTTAACCAAATTTACCCACTTTATTGATCAAGTAGAATTTGGTTTTCTAAAATACTTTGTATACAAACATTAATAATAATAATTTTTTTACCCAAATTCCAGCCACAAATCGTGGCCAAGATGATAACACCAAGGTAAATGAAAAATGCTTGTGCACTCAGATATAAACCAATGATGAAATACAAAATCGTCACCAAGATAATATTCAGTATTGAATTTATAGCCAACTGTCCAATTAAATATAAATGTATAAAGGTTATCCGTTGCAGAAGTTTGTTTATTATTTATATTTATTTACATTATATAATTTGTTAATTATTATATGTTAACATTTTGTAAAATTAATTATGTCCCTGCCAATAATAAAAAAGAAAATGTGTTTTTAATAAAGGTTTCTCTGAGAACTTATTTAAAACTGTATCCTAACAAAATCCCGAAAAACAAAACCCCGAAATACAAAAACCCGAAAACAAAATCCCTAAAAGAATAATCCCGAAAATTATAATATCTATATAAATAATATTATTAGTATATAATAATTATTATTATATAATAATTATTATTATATAATTATTTTAAATTTAATTAGTGTCATACCTGTAAGTAAATATCTCATCAACTTTTCAATATTGTAATAATTTGCTGAGTTTTAATACAAATAAAGTTCTAACTAACTTGTAATTAATTTAATTCTTTAAGTATTATTAAGTTTTAAATTCAGGAAAAGTAATTTTATTTATTTATATAATTATTATAATTTTCGGGATTATGTGTTTCGGGATTTTGTTTCTCGGGGTTTTGTGAAACTTCCATTAAAAACTCCTTTACTAGTAAAGTATGAGTTTATATATGTGGCATATCTTGTACTATAAATTAAATGATTTAAATAAGTTCTCTGAGAAAGCTTTATAAAACATCACTTTCTTATTATTAGCAGTAATATAATATTAATAATAAATAAATAAATATTATACTTAAACATTACCTGGGTAATAATCGTCGCCAATATATATGGGAATAAAGCGTACGAACGGTTGTGGTGTTCCCTACAAAGTAAGGCCTCTTCTCCTAATAATGTCTATAATATAATAGAAAATTATGTTTATTTTAAAACTTTTATAAATCATATATTAATGTAGAAATTAACAATGTAATATTGTGGAAATATAAATTTACATTATTCTCCATTTTTAATGTCAAAAATGTAATTGTAGATGTTCTTAAATAATAAACAATATTTGTTATTATAGTCATTATAATATATGATAAACCAATACGAGATGAGTCTCTGAAAAAAATTCTTTTATTTCTTCTTTAAATATTGCTTTTGTGTAAAGTTTGAAATATTATGTTTAACTGATTACTTTTCAACTTTACACAAAAGCAATAAAGAAGAAATAAAGCATTTTTTCAGAGACTCATCTCATATTGGCTTGTCAGATATGTATAAAATGAAATAATAATGCTTACACTTAGAGCGACAATTGACTGTGACATTACATTTAGCTGTAATATCATATTAAGAGCCCCTTTGATATTATCGACGTTGGAGTAGTCATATCCCTGTCCGTGGTAGAGTACCCCAAATAATACTGCCATACACTGTGTGAATAAAATGAAAAATTTGTATAAATTACATTAATTGTATGTCAATTTCTAAATCGTAACCATAATTATAATGAGCCTAGATTGTATTAAATTGGGATCTCGCATGAAAACAAAATATGATCGCCACAATACAGTAACCAGTTGTTGCCAATAACCAGTCCTATAGCCCGACCCCAGTGTTGTCATGTTTAATGTACACATATTGTCCACATTATATCCAGAGTTAACTGTGTTTGCACTCAATGCGAGATAATTGTCACATATTTCCTGAATATTAAGACAATTTATATATAAATATAAATAACTGGTTAAATATATTAATGTATTTTAAATATTACATTGACTTTGCTTTTAGTTTGCGCATAATTACTATCCATTATTGCTATTTTGAGAGAAATCATATAAAGTGATTAAAATTTATTAGACATATGAGTAAAACAAACCCAATTCCCGTAAATAATAATCCGACGGATTGTAGGTTTTTGGACAAACCTATTGAATAAATTTAATTTTTATATTTAATTAAATAAATATCATTATACAGGTTCACAAGTATGAGGTTTGAACACTTTGTCAATTAATTTAAATATGTTTAAACCCGTGATATATCAACTTATTATATATCAAATTAAAGCTTGTATGTGAGAATAAGTATACTTAATATCTTTTCTTTATCAATTAATCTGGCCAAGTTATTCAATCCCGAACCCAAAGTATCTAAATTTGTTTTTTACATCTATGTTAAATCTATGGGGAAATTAACATTGTGGTGCATTAAAATGCCCGACGTATGAAACATACGTAAACACGATGTCAAAGAGAAAATATTACGTTTCTAAAATAAATTTTTATTGTTGTCATATTGATAAACAATGATTCTGATGACAAATTATCAGAAAATTATTTTTCAAACTGTAAGGATTAATGCATTATTGATGTTTATATTATCTTATTTTAATATTAAATTGCAGTATAACGACGAGTGATAACTAAATAATTTCTTCGCTATTGTAATGCAAAATTCTTGGCACAAAACTCGTGGTGAACGCTATAATCATTGCGTTCGTGATTACAGACAACTTTCCCATCGCATCCAGTATTCTATACCAAATGCCTATACTTTTAACCCTGGTATAAAGTTTAAAAAAAATTTAATTAATTTAAGATCCATGAAAATCATTATCAACTATTTAGCCAAACCTTTGAGCGACGGGTCGTTTAAAACTCGTGATAATCTTTTTGGCATCAAATCTAATCTCAAAGAAGTTGTTGATGAGCGCGAAGAGTGGCGCCAATGGAAAGGCGGCCACAAATAGAGTGACAAAACCAAACTGGAGGACCAGTTCCAGGTATTCGTAGAACAAAGAGGTTGGACTCCATGATGAGAGCAGGAAGTCGTCCTCCCATTGCGGCAAATTGAGAGGACCCTCACACTTGTCGTCCAAACTCTGAGTGTATTTCCACTTATTGTAAAAACGGGTGAATACGGGAGTAGCGATCTCCATGACGGCCCCAAACGCCTGCTTTCCCACCATTATTATAGCCAACTGTATGGCTAAGTCCACGAAACAACCGCCTAATCACACAAAACACAGAATTATTATACAAATATAGCAATTCAATGGGAAAAGGTATGCAAACCACACACTCACCCATTGGACATTCCTCGACAAAATATTTGGACACATCACCCGTACGGGTGACAAACCTTCCCTTAGCGAAGGCTATGTAGAATATGGACGAGTAGTAGTTAACAAATTGGAACAGGAACATTTTTAGAGTAAGCG